CCTCCCTATCTCTGTAACCCCCTCCCTATCTCTGTAACCTCCCCCAGCCTCTCCCCAAACCTGTAAGCCCCGCCCCCCCGCACCGTCGCTCTGTGCCGGGGGTGGCGCGAGCGGTCGGCGGTTGGAGAGGCGGGGCTCGCGCTGGAGGCGTGGTCGTGTGGTGGCTTTGGGCGTGGCGCTGCGGGCAGTTCCCGCGCATGCGCCCTGGGCCCGGGCGGCGGTTTGGAACGCGGGCGCGGGGTGTCGGTTTGAAAAGGAAAAGCCACGTGGTGAAGCGGTTGTCGGCGTGGGGAGCCGGGGGAGGCGGCGAGTGGGCGGCGGTTGGGCTCAAGGTGGGGGAGGCGTTTAAAGTTATTGGCGGATTTTAGGTGGAGGGGTTAAACGAGGGATTTGGGGCTAAATGGGGCACGTGGTACAGGGGGGTCAAACCTGAGTCAAGGGGGCGTGTTGAAAAGGGGAGGGAAATGCAGTGGTGGTAGTAGTGCTTGGCGCAAGGGTCAAAGGTCATGGAGTTACAATGTCAACTGAGGGCAAGTTGGCCATAGTGGGAGCGATGTCAATGTGAAGGAGGGGTAAAAGAATAAGAGAGGGTGCAAATGAGGGTAAGTATCAAAGTGAGGAGGCAGCAAATGTGTCATGGGGAAACAAGAGGATGTAAAATGGAGAAGGGGTCAATGGGGAAGGTGGTTGCCGTGAGGGTTGGTGGTTAGCCTGACTGAGGGGGAGACGGTCAACATTGGAGGGAAGTGGCAGTGACAGAGGAAGCAGTTTTCACGGGGGATAATGTGGTGTAGGGGGTCACAAGCATGATGATGTTTGAGTGGGTATCGCTGATAACTTTGGAGAAGGAGGGGCTGTAATGTGAGGCTGGAGTGTAACATGGAGCCAGTGAATAGGAGAGACATAGGAGAAAAGTGTGGAACAAGGTGGGAGGGGAGGGTTATAGCACTTGGGTGGGTTTGACATTGGGGAAGGGAGTAACATGGGGGAAGCAGACAAGAGGTAAATTAGGTGATGGGATCAAATGGTGGCTGCAAGGTGGTTAAAATGGGAGAGTGAGGAAAATGATGGATGGAGGTGAAATGGAGAGAACGGTGTTAAAAGCTAAGAAAAAAGGTCACATGAGGGAGTGAAGCAGAATGGGCTTAAATGGGAGGGCATTGGGAGTTAAACCAGTAAGGGAGAAAAGTAAATAGGGACAGGAAAGGGTTTAATGGGGAGAGAAGCCATTTCAAATAGGGAGCGGGAAAGGGTAAATTGGAAGTAGAGTCAGATGTAAAATGGTATGGGGACTGGACAAATTTGGAGGGTGAGAGGGGGACAGTAATGCATTGGCAAAGGTAGGTAAAGTGGAGGGAGAGGGAAAATGAAGAGGTGAAGATGTGGGTAAATGAGGGAGGTGAAGATGTGGGTAAATGAGGGAGGGAAAATTGTGAAACAAAATGGGAATGGGTGATAAAATGAGGCAGAAAGGCAAAGAAATAAAATGAGCGGTAAAGGAGATAAAATGGAGAGGGAGGAAGTGAGTGAAATGGAAGGGCAAAAGACTGTAATGGCAGATGATTAGGAGAAATGGAGGAGGAGGGGGTTAGAAGAAAACTGGGAGGAAATGGTTGCGAGTAAAGAGAATGAATTGGTTAAGGGAATGGCAAGTGGGGCAATGAAACATAATAGAGAAATTGAAGGAGAGGAGTAAACATTTTGTAGAAAAGGGGGTCAGGAGAGGAGACGGGGTTCAGAAAGATGGGCAGCAAGTGGTTACCAGGAAGGGAGTGGAAGTGCCTGTGGATAGCAAACTAGAAAAAGAGGTGCTAAAAGAAGGGAGTAATTGAGAAGTGAAGGAGACATTCTGGAGCAGATAGCAAGAAACAATATGGGGAAGGAGGGAAGAAAGGAATGGTGGAAGTGAGAAAAGGGAAAGAGAATAAGGGATGAAATGGAATCAGAAAGTAGGAGTAAATGGTAAAGGAGAATCTAGGGGAAGAGCAGAGGTTCTGGGGGATAGGAGAAGGAATGGAGGGAGAACGAGGGCTGTTGAAATGAGGGGAGGGGGTAAAGCCAAAGGGAGACAGGCCAGGAGATGGTCTGAGAGAGAAGCAAAAATATAGAATTAGAAGTATGGGTTACAGTGTGGAACAACAAAAAGGAAAGGAGGTGATGGGGAAAGGGTTAGGTAAGGAAATGGCAGAAAAGAGAAGGGAGTGCGGGGGTAGAGACGAGGGAAAGGATATGAAAGGTTTATGTGGTGAGGGAGAGGTGAAGTGCAAGGCTAAAGATTGATGAAAAATAATTGGTGTGAACTCAGCTCCCACACATGGGCTGTTCTTTTCATGGTACTTCCTGACTTGTTAGTGTACCTGCTTTCTCGGTTTCTGTTTCAGCATTTCTACAGGCACAATTTGTGCTCCTCATTGACACTGTTCTTGTTGCAGCTTACTCCCTTTTGCCTCTTTTACCTGCCAGCAGGTCTATTCCCTCATATCCTTCCTGTTTATTCGAAAAAAAATCTGACTTTGACTATATTTCTGATCTCCCTAGCCCTTGGTGTGCCTCCCTCCTGTTGCAATAGTGTCCAGTTTTTACATCTTGCACAGAATGCCTCCTAGCTTTTGTGTGAGTCATTCCTTCTGATGAGGATACGTCCATAAGGTATAGGAGCAGAATTAGGGCATTTGGCTCATCGAGTCTGCTCCATCATTCGATCATGGCTGGTAAATGTTTCCAAATTCTATCCCCTGCTCTCTCCCTGTAACTTTTGATCTGCTTACTAAACAAGAACCTAGCTATTTCTGTCTTAAAGACACTGAATGACTGGGCCTCCATAGACTTCTGCAGCAATGAGTTCCACAGATTCAACACCCTTCAGCTGAAGAAAGTTCTTCACTTCTCAGTTCTTTCACAGAGGTTGTTCCCTCAGGTCCTACTCTGTCCTAGTGGAAACATCTTCTTATCGTCCATTATATCCAGGTCTCTCAGTCGCTTGTAAGTTTGAATGAAATCTGTCACATCCTTCTGAACTCCATCAGGTACAGATCCAGAGTCCTCACCTGCACCTCAAATGACAAACAATTAATTCCTGGGATCATTCTTGTAAAACTCCTCTGGAAGCCTCCAAGGCCAGGATATCCATCCTTAAATATGTGGCCCGATACTGCTCACAGTATTCAAGCACAATCTGACCAGAGCCTTATGTAGCCTCAGCAGTACACCCCTGCTCTTATATTCTAGCCCTCTCAAAATTAATGCTAGCATTGCATTTTCCTTCCTAACTGCCAACTGAAACTGCATGTTAACTTGAAGAGAATCCTGAACTGGAACTTCTAAGTCACTTTGTGCTTCAGATTTCTGAAACCTTTACCCATTTAAAAAATAATCTCCGCCTTTATTCAAAGTGCATATTGTCACACTTTCCCACATTATATTCGATCTGCCCACTCGCCTAGCTCGTACAAGTTTTTCTGCAACTTCTCAGCTTCCTCAACGCTAATTACCTGTCCCTTCTTTATGTCAGCTGCAAATTTAGCAATAATGCCTTCAGTTCCTTTGGCCAGATCATTTATGTTTAACGTGAATCGTTGTCCCAACACCAACCCCTGCAGAACGTCATTAGTCACTGGCTGCCATCCAGAAAAAGCTCCTTTTATCCCAAATCTCCACCTACTATCATCCAGCCAGTCCTCTATCCATGCCAGTATCTCGCTTCTAACATTCTGGGCTCCTATTTAGCACTGTCTAGTACGGCACCTTGTCACAATCCTTCTGGAAATCCAAGTAAATCATGTCCATTGGCATGTCTGACTTTCTTGTTACCACCTCAAAGAATTTTAGCAGATTTGTCAGGCATGACCGCCCTGTGATGAAGCCATGCTAACTCACCCCTATTTTACCGGTTTTACTTGATAGTGGACTATAAAGTCTTATCAACAGCCAAGGTCAGGCTAAACAGATTATAATTTCTCCTGCATTTCTCCCTTCTTAAATGGGGCTTTATATTAGCCATTTTCCAGTCCTCTGGGACTCTCCCTGACTCCAGCAATTCCTAAAATATCACTGTCAATGTCTCCACAGTCTCCTCAGCTATCTCCTTCAGAACCCTGTGGTGAAGTCTTTCCAGTCCAGCTGATCTATCCACCTTCAGACCTTCCAGTTTTCTCAGCACCTCCTTAGTGATGGACCCTACACTCACCTTTACCCTCTGACTGTCTTAAAATTCAGGTACGTCACTGGTGTCTTCCATGGTGAAAACTGATACTACCTATTCAGTTCTTCTGCCATTTCTTTGTTCCCCATTACTTCTTCACCAGCCTCATTTTCCAGCTGTCCGATGTCCACTCATGCCTCTGTCTTACCTTGCAATCTCCTTTTATATTACTAGCTTGCTTATCCTCATATTTCATGTTCCCCTCCCTTATTGCTTTTCAAGTTGTCCTCTACTAGTTTTTAAAGGCTGACCAGTCTTCTGGCTTTCCATTGTCTTTGGCATATTCTTTTGCTTTTCTGCTGTCCCTAACTTCTCTTGTCAGCCATGGTTGCCTTTTCCTGCCATTAGTATATTTCCTCTTTCTTTCCTTGGGATGAGTTTCTGCTGTGCCTCCTGAATGACCTCCAGAAACTCCTGCCATTGCTGCTCTACCATCTTTCCTGCTAGGCTCCCCTTCCAATCAACTCTGGCTACCTCCTTGCTCATTGTAGTTGCTTTTACTCAAGTGTAATACTGTTCCATCTGATTTTAGCTTCTCCCTCTTAACTGGAGGGTGAATTCTATCATATTATGGTCCCGCTAGGGGTTCATTACATGTCACCAAATCCAGAATTGCCTGTTCCCTCATCGGCTGTACCATAACGTGCTCCAAAAAAACCTATCTCATTGACATTTCACAAATTCTTTTTCTTGGAATCCACTACCAACTTGATTTTCTGCATGTTGAAGTACCCCATGAATATTGTCGTGGAGTCTGTCTTACATGCTTTTTCTATCTCGTGATTTGTTTTCAGCCCCACGTCTGACTACTGCTAGGAGACCATTAAGTAACTCCCATCAGGGTCTTTTCTCCTTTGTGGCTCCTCAACTCTATCCACACATATTCTGTACCTTATCATCTTATAAGCATCAGGAATGAGATATAAGTTCCTTCAAAAGATTTTGAATTTTTGGATTTCTTACATTTCTGAGGGAGATGCTCAGTCACTGAGTATTCTGAGACTGTGACTCCTCTTCCCCTTAGTTCTAGACTCCCAAGCTGGGGGAAGCTGCCTCTCAGCATCTGCCCTATCAAACCTTTGAAGAATTTCAATTAGATCACTTCTCATTCTCCTGAACCCTAGACAATATTGGCTTATCCTGCTCAATGTGTCCTCGTAGGACAGCCCTTCCATCCCTGAACATCAATGAAATGTAGCTTTTGTATATCATCACACAAAACACTAATGCACACTTTGGGCACCCGCTGTAAATAGGGCATACTCACTGTGGAATCCTTGTAAATACTGACATTCCGAGACCTCCCCAGTAAAATCTGACACACTCCCTCGGGGACCACTTTAAATACCGACACACTTCCCTAGGATTCTTGGCAAATATAGTACTGACATGCTTCCGAGGAACCCCCTTTAAATGCTATTGTGTTCTACAGGGAGCCCCTGTAAATACTGACACACTCCCTTGGAAGTAGACCAAACTATCAGTATTCTGGGTTTCTGATCACCAAAACCATATATAATTGCAGCAAGATATCCTTATTCTTTTACCCCAATCCCTGAATAAAGTCGGCTATACCACTTGCTTTCCTGATTGCTTGAAGTATTTACACTTTAACTTTGTGTGACGCATTTATAAGGATACCCAAATAGTTCTAAATATGGCATTTATTCATTCGTAACCTTAATTTAAAAGTTATTCTGCTTTTCCAATCTTCATATTCCAATGTTGGAAATTCCTATTTGAATATTTCAATCCATGTCACCACCTTGTCCTCTCACTGAACAGTGTAGCTTGGTGCCCACTTTTTGTCGTCTTTGTAGCTTGCACTCCAACCTTGCATCACCCAGCAAATTTGGCTATTTTTCAGCTGGTCCTTTCATATCCATGTTGTACATGTTAATTGTAAGCAGCACGGACCCAGTTCACCAGTTACGTCCTGCCATCCCAAAAATTAAACCTTTGCTTTCTGTCCTTCAATGGATTATAATCATGCCAACATATTTTATTCTCCCACCCCCAGCGCCTCGTCACTTCACCAAGAGTAGAGGAGTAGAATTGAGCGGTAACTCTATCAAAGTCTTGGCATAGACAGCCTGGACTGAATGACCTTTGTCTCCACTCACCACACAATTCTGACATGTAGTACCTCAGGCACTAGTTATCATTCTTATGACACAATATCTGTTTAAAATCTCTGTCAGACCTCAAACCTGTGACTTCACCCAAATCTCCCCAGCTTTCGAAACTATCTCTTCTGGAATGTTCTATATAATTAGATTGTGCCTGATATCCGCTCAGCTGTGAGTCTGAATGGTAGGCACCACAGCTGAAACCTACTACCTCACGTGTGCGCATTGCAGCAAAATGTGGGTTTCCCTCAAAGAACGACTTTTTCATATTAGTATGTGCCCTTAGCATTTCTGGATAACATTGCATTTCTTTTGTTTATGTTTTGCTCAGGATCTCCTAATTATCTTTCAAAGAGACAAATCCACATGCAGTTAATTCTCCAGTAAATTGCGAATAACTAAAGTGAGACCTTCAGCAAAAATGCCTGAGAGGAGCCAGACTTTGTTTACTCAAAAGTCTAAGCAAACAGCCTCAACTGTTCGGATGCAACCCAAACCTGTGCCTAGGAGGCCCAATCAACCAAAGCTTCACGACATGCATAAACATCGCATGTCATGGATCAGTATGTCGCGTTACAAAATGTCTCATTTAAGCTTAATGGAGCAAGTACATACGGAGTTAAGAGATTTGGGTGTAAGCATTGAGATCCTTCTGCCTCTGTTCTTTTTCCCAAATATATGTTCTCAGAAAAGTAATGGAAATTACATCAAGCAAGTGACCCTTTGTTGGGAGGGTTAGTACTAAGTGAACACTGCATTGTCAGAGGCACTACAGAGGAAGTACTACAATAGAAAGGGAGCACTACAATGTTGGAGGGTCACTACTGTGGAGGTGTTACATTGTTAGAGTGTCAGTATTAAGGGAGTGCTGCTTATTTAAGCAGCGGGAATACTGCTTTTTCCATATTGTTTCAATCAGTGAGATGGAGGAGAGGGAGAGACCACAGTTCTGTATTCCTCACTTTCCATTCCATTTCAGTACAATCTAACTAAATATGTAATGGAGCATCCGAGGAGCAGGAAAGTCAAAATTTCGGGCTAAAACCCTTCATCAGGACTGGGAGGGGGAGGGAGCCCAGAAGTTAATGGGGGCGGGCACGGTGTGGCTGGGGGAAAGATAAGTGGGATGGTGGTAGGTTGGTGCAGGTAGGGGGTTATTGTGATTGGTCATTGGGAAGAGTGGAGCAGATAAGTGAGTAGGAAGATGGACAGGTTAGATCAGGGAGTGGGGGAGGAGGAGGGGGAGGACCTGACATGGGATAAGGCTGGGCTAGGGGGACTTTTTAAATGTCACATTTTAAAAGCAAGGCCCCTTCTTATGAACTGTTCCTCCACCTTGATCAACTTCCCCAGCCCAGTCCCAACAGAGAAAGTAATTTTTCTCTATTTATTCTATCACTAGTAGTGACCCTCCGCTTTTTTAAATCATTACAAAATACATTAATCTTCCAAACTCAAAGTAGAGAGGACTGATTTATGCAGAGGTAGATGCTCTTTTAGCCCCAACACCTTTGTGATGAATTCATGCAGCTTGCATGAAGAAATAGTATACCTTTTCTGATTATCAGTGCCCGGAACTGATGACGTTTCTCCAAATAGTAGGATTGCTAATTAGAACTGTATTGTACCTGTATCTCTTTGTGGTGCAGCATCCCATCTCAAGATCTTGGGGCTCATTCAATTAGTATTTTGTCTACTTTCTGCACTGTTGGTAGTGGTTATTAGTCATTTTCTGACATCAGTTTTGTGCTGTAGATAGTCTACATCTCGTAACTGTTCATTCTGATCTTTTTCTTTCTCTGCAAACATGTGCCAACTGTAGGCCATTGAGATCATGATTGGAATGATTGAGATGATGTTTGGCATTCCACTGATTTTTGCGGAAAGCTATTCGTTCCCTGCAATTATTGGAGCCCCCTGGTTTACAGGATTTTGGGTAAGTTTGTTCCAAAAATTGCAACTAAACCTAATATGAGAAGATAATGGGGAGAGACAGGGAAACTATGAAATTCTCACCTCCCACACCTGGGAGAGGTAATTAGAAATATTTAAGGGTGTTTCTTAGAGAGGACATGGAATGAGCTGGATGTCTTATGAATAAAATTCAAGAATGATGGTCATTAATATAAAATGTTGCTGAATAAAGAAACGTTTTGTTGAAGCTTCTCATCTTGCACTCATAAAATATTTGGCAGAACACCACTGTAAAGGGGAAGCAACATTTTATACTGTATGAAAAAGAGTTTAATACAGTATGAAAAATGATTGGCACGTGGACTGATCGATAGAAGCATTGCCATGGAGAATGCGCCAGTTAGTTGATGTCTAGCAATTATAGAAACATAGATTTGTACAGCACAGAAGCAGTCCCTTCGATCTCACTCATCCATGCCGATCAGATATCCTAAATTAATCTAGCCCCATTTGCCAGCATTTGGCCCATATCCTTCTAAACCCTTCCTATTCAAGTACCCATCCAGATGCCTTTTAAATGTTGTGATTGTACCAGCCTCCACCACTTCCTCTGGCAGCTCATTCTATACACACACCACCCTCTGCGTGAAAAAGTTGCCCCTTGGTTCCTTCTTATATCTTTCCCCTATCACCTTAAATCTATGCCCTCTAGTTTTGGACTCTCCTACCCTGGGGAAAATACCTTGACTATTCATCCTATCTATGCCCCATAATTTAGAAACCTCTGTAATGCCACCCCTCAGTCTCCAGGGAAAAAAGCCCCAGCTATTCAGCCTCTCCCTATAGCTTAAACCCTCCAACCCCCACAACATCCTTGTGAATCTTTTCTGCACCCATTCAAGTTGAACAACATCTTTCCCATAGCAGGGAGATGAAATTGAATGCAGTATTCCAAAAGTGGCGTGTGCAATGTCCTGTACAGCCACAACATGATATCCCAACACATGTACTCAATCCACTGACCAATATAGGCAAGTGTACCAAATGCTCTCTTCACTACCCTGTCTACCTGTGACTCTGAGCTAACTGCTGAGCTTTGTTTAAATTTAAACCAGTCAGGTTGAATTATTAGTCAAGGCAGTGATTTGAAATACAAACTGGAAAATGGATGTCATCTATTTTGGTAAATTGAAACAGGCTCAAAATTTTGACTATGTCTGCAAAAAACAAGGGCCCAAGTATTAATATATGTTGTTTCCAGTGTACATAAGTTCTCCACTTTGTGAGCCCAACTGAAAATCTTAAATTGGTAACAAACAGCTAGCTGGAAAAACTCAGCAGATCTGACAGCATTTGTGGAGAGAACGTAGAGTCAATATTTCGGCTCCAGTGACCCTTCAGTTCAGAACAGAATTTTTCCAACTATTTCTGTTTTTATTTCAGATTTCCAGCATCCGTAGTTCTATGTTTTTAAGTCTTAAATTGATTATCACCGTAATTCTTAGTGCAATCTGGCCATAATTTGTTAAATAAGCCCATCACGAAATCACATCTAATGTTGTCCACTGTTTTGAGTTTTGCAGCACAAGTTGATTGGACACGGCCTGCACCTTGCCTGTTGAGAACCGCTGACAGGGCATGCTGTTTCATACAGTCCACCAATCTTTGAGCTATACAGCCTACATACAAAGGCACTGAAATTCATATATCACACTGCTCATTTACCTAATAGGCAAAACATGTTTTTTGACTTCATGGGAGTTTTCTGTTAACATCAAACACCATTCATGTTGCTATGGCATAGCTTGGCAGTTAACTGTTAGCCATTATCTAAATTACGCATTCACCGTCGCAACACCTTGACACTGTCAATACCTTGAGAGTCCCTTGCCAACCAACCAGCACTGTCATTCTGATACAGTATGAAATATGATTCCCCCTTTCCATTGATAAACTTGTTAGTGTTCTGATGAGTTTAATGTAAAAGAAAAACTTTGACAATACATGCCATTTTTCAGCAATACTCAAGTGCTATACTACCAAACCACTGAATGTAAAATAATCACAGTCTGGCTCAGTTGGATCACACTTGGCTTACAACGTGGTGACTCCTTGCAGATTGCACCAATATCTTTAGATTAGAGCAGTATCTCACTATGGTCTCTCTCTTTCTCTCTCTCTCTGTCTCTGGAGATAGGTCAGAGTCCCCAAATTACCTCTCCGTAAATTAGATGTCCATATGGTGTTTCTCTAAATCAGATCAGTGTCTCTCTGTGGTGTTCCTATAGATTAGATTAGTACTTCTGTATTGTTTTCTTTCACTGCATTAGACATATATTCCTCTTATTGTATCTCTCTAGTTTAGATCAATATCTCTCAATGCTGTCTCTAATTAGATCAGTCTTTGTTTGGTGTCCCTTTCTAAGTAAGATCATCATATTTCAGTGGTGTTTCTCTAGATTAGATCTGTGTCTATCTATTGTGTCTCTCTAAATTAGACCTGCATCTCTATGGAGTTTCTCACAAAATCAGTATGTCTTAATCAGTATCCCACAACATTGGATCAGTATCTCACTATGGTCTCTCTCACTGAAATATATTATAATCAGTATCACTCAATAGTGTCACTGTCTAGATTAGATCCAGATTGAATCAACATCTCTGTTTCGGAATTTTTTTAATTCGTTCACAGGATGAATGCATCGCTGGCTAGGCCAGCATTTATTGCCCATCCCAGAGGGCAGTTAAGAGTCAACCACATTGCTGTGGGCCTGGAGTCACGTGTAGTCCAAATCAAGATCTCTGGGTTAGATCAGAATACCTTCAAAGTGACTCTCTAGATCAGTATCTACAGTGTCTATAGTTGGAAGTTTGTGTCCAGTGGACCCCTATAGGGGTCAGTGTTGGGGTTCTTGTTTTTGTGGTTTATATATGATTAAGATCTGAATGTAGGACAATGGATCTGTAAGTTCACTGATGATACAAAAATTGGTGGGGTGGTAAATAGTGAGGAGGATAGCCTTAGATTGCAGGTGGATATAGACGGGCTTCTAGGCACAAAAACACCCCTCAACCATCGCTGTCTGCTTCCTGCCGCTCACCCAATTCCCTATCCAATTTGCCAAGTTTCCTTAGATCCCATGGACTCTTACCTTCACCACCACTCTTCCATGCGAGACCTTAACAAAAGCTTGCTGAAGTCCAAGTAGATGACATTGAATACATTGCTGTCATCTATACACCTGGTTACATAGAATCCCTACAGTGCGGAAACAGGCCCCTCGGCCCAACAAGTCCAGGCCGACCCTCAGAGCATCCAGCCAGACCCATTCCTTATAACCCACTTGAGCTACATATCCCTGAACACTGTGGGCAATTTAGCATGGACAGTCGGTATTGCTTGCACATTATTGGACTGTGTGAGGAAACCGGAGCACCCAGACAAAACCCATGCAGACACGGGGAGAATCTGCAAACTCCACACAGACTGAGGGTGGAAGCAAACCCGGATTTCTGGCGCTGTGAGGCCACAGTGCTAACCACTGAGCCACCATGCTGCCAATAGATTTTACAGTTTAATCATTAGACACTTAATTGAATTCAAATTCGACCATCTGCCATGGTGGGATTTGAACCCAGGTCCCCAGAATATTACCTGGGTTTCTGGAATAGCAATCCAACAATAACACCATTATGCCATCACCTTCTCCTAATACCTGTTTGAAAAATTCAGTCACGTTGATCAGGCATGTTCTTTGAAAAATTGTCAAGTTGGTCAGACCTGACATCCCCTTAATGAAACTATGCTGCGTGTTCTTGATTAACCCTGCTTCTCCAAGTGCAGATTAATTCTGTCCCTCAGAATTATCACTGTAAATTGGATCAATATCTCTTTATTGTGTCACTCTAGATTGGATTAATATCTCTCTACTATGCCTCTTCAAAGTAGATCAGTGTCTCTGTATTATATCTCTCTAGATTAGATTAGTATATGTCTATTGTGTTTCTCCAGGGTAGATCATTGTCTCTCTATTGTCTCTGTCTAGGTTGGATCAGTACCTCTGTATTGTGTCACTCTAGATTAGATCAGACTCTTTCTTTGGTGTCTACCTTTGTCTAGATTTGTTCAGAATCTCAATGTTGTGTCTCTGCAGATAGTATATGTATGTTTGTAAATGTCTCTGCAGATAGTATATGTATGTCTGTAAATACTCTCTCTATAGATTACATAAGTATCTCAATTGTGTCTCAAGATATTTCTCTAGGTTAGATTAGTGTTTCTCTGTTGGGTGTCTCTGGATGAATTATGGTGTGTTTCTAGATCTGAATCTCTTCGTGAGAACAGGATCTGCCTAAATTGTCACTTTAGCTTTGGTTGAAATTACTTTACAGACCTTGCCACAAAGCTCTCAAATATCCTGCTTTTATTAGATGAAATGCTGGAACTGCTTTTGGTGAAATGTGCGTGCCAGATAACAATAATTTGTTTCTCTTTTGCAGTATGTGGTAGCGGGATCCTTGACAGTTCATTTAATATATTCCAGAGGTACTACAGGCGTAAGTATTTAATTAATATATGGTCTCTGCTCTGAGATCTGTAACTTATGCTAATATAATCCTCTCCGGACAACCTTCCCTAGGCTTGTGACACAGTGCTGGTGAAGGTATGTCTTTGTATATTGCTACATAAACAACGATGACTATCTTCTACTTCCAGGTCAGCCATACTTCTGTTCACTGATTAAGCTGTGTTAAATTTCCACTTCAAAACTTGATAGTAAAATTCAGGCTGACCCTGCCATTGCAGTATATATAGTTAGCATTATGCTGTTGGAGTAGTATTGAGGGGATGCTGCTAAAAATAGATCATGGACAAGGAGATGGTATGAAACTCTGCTAACTGACTAGTTTGATTGATTTGGCTGTCCATGCCAGTCTTTGCATGAGGCTACATACACAGGTGAGAGTGAAATGGCAGCCTTCTTGGCCTGGATGGACTTCTCTGCTGTCTGAGCCAGGGTGACTATATCCTGTAGAATATCAGCAGCTTTCTGCTGTCTCAGCTATCTCTGCTGTCAACAGCCGGCTGCCTTCTGGACTGAGAAGAAATATCATGGGTGAAAATGTCATGGCAGAGGCATGGTATGACATTGAACACTCTGAAGCCCCTTTTTTGCTTCCATCATTTGTGGTCAAGTATGCACCAGGGACCACAACTCTTTGTTAATATGGTTGACATGGGGAAGAGAATGGAGAGAGGAGGGGGATTTGGACTTTACAAACATGAAGCCCCAGAATCAACTGATTTTTCAGGTCGATGCTTGTACGTTGTTGGACATATGAACACCATCCTCCATGGCTACCTTTGGCTCCGTCATGTTTGCATTAGACCATTAACCCTTCAGTGGCTGTGCTACTGACTTAGCCCGTAGGGGTGAGGATGGCCAGAATGGGATCCTTTGGCAGTTTTCCTACCTTTCCTTGTAGTGTGGGCTGTTTTGTCCTGTGGAAAAGCAGAAACAAAAGGTTCCTCACTCCACAAGAACAGGCAACAAAATGATGAACTGAAAATGCAAATAGGAATGAATAAATATTATCTGGTAGCCATTACAGAAATATGGCTGCAACATGACATGAAATAAGTCCTGACTCTTGAAGGATACAGGACAATTAAGAAGGACAGGAAAGTAGATAAAGGTGGAGTGGTGGCTGTATTAGTTAGTGATAATAAAACAGTAGAGAGGGATGACCTAAGTTCAGGAAACCAAGAAGTAGAAACAATTAGGTTAGAAATGAGAAATGATAAAGAAAAGGAATCACTTGTAGGAGTGGTGTACTGCCCAACTAACAGTAGCCATGCAATGTACAAAGGAATCGATAATGAGACCATTTCGGAAGGGCACAGTGATAATTATGGCTTGTTATAATCTATGTATAGACTTGAAAAGTCGTATGGGGCAAAGGTAGCCTAGATGACAGTTCATAGAATGTTTTCAGAATAGTTTCTTAGAACATAGCAGGCATTTTTAGGGATATTTTAGAGTATACAGAATAGATAAATTTCAATGAATGAGTAAAATTCTAAGGGATGGATACAGCATCAGATATTAACTAGAAATGTTATACTATCAAACTTAAAGTAGAACCATATAATAGTGCAAAGACTGGTGCCAGGTCTGAAGATTATATAGAATATAAAAAAAAACGAGGATTGAACAAGAAGTAATAAAGAGGGAAAAATAGAGTCCAAGATAAAGCTGACCAGAAGTATAAAAACAATTAGTAAGTATTTCTGTAAGTATTTAAAGAAGAAAGAGTTATCAGAATGAGCATTAGTCCTATAGAAAGTCAGAATGCAGAAGTAATAATGCAAGGTAAGGAAACGGTTAATAGAATTGAACAGCTATTTTGTATCAGTCTTCGCTATCAAGGATACAAATAACATTCCTGAAACAGCAATAAGACAGGAAATGAAAGGGTGGGAGCATTTCAGGAAATAGCCCCCGCTATTTACCATAGTTATCAATGATTTGGAAGAGGGAATCGAATGTAACATTTCCACAATTGCTGATGTTAGAAAATTAGGAGGAATTGAGAGCGGTGAGGAGGAAGTAAAGAGGCTTCAGGTGATTTAGTCAGGATGAGTGAGTAGACATCCATGACTCAACAGTACAAGGTGGATAACTGAGAAGTGATCCACTTTGGTAAGAAAAACATTAGCAGAGCATTATTTAAACGGTGATAGATTGGGAAATGTGTTTTGGGAAGTTGTGTGTTGTTTTACACCAGTCACTGAAAGCAGGCAAAAAGGTGCAGCAAGCAGACAGGGAGGCAACTGGTGTGTTCACCTTTATTGCAAAAGGATTTGAGTACAGCAGCAGGGATGTCTTTCAACTGTACAGGACCTTGGTGAGATCATACCTGGATGGTTGTGTGCAATTTTTGGCTTATTAGCTAAGAATGAAAATGTACCTGCCGTAGACAGGGCAGAAAAGATTAACCAGACTGAATCCTAGAATAGGAGAGATTATGTCGATGGAGCCCGCACTGATTGTGGTTTAGAAAAATGAGAGGGATGTCATTGAAATATATAGGATTCTGACAAGACTAACCAGATTGTTGATTTCCTTAGGATATAGGATAGGTCATTTTGGAGAAGAAGACAAATTTCTTCATTTAGAGAGTGGTGAACCTGTGGAATTCTCCATTGCATATTGCTGTGAATGTCAAATCACAGATGTATTCAAGAAAGAAATAAACAGATTTCTAGAAACTAAAGATGTCAAGGGGCATGGGGAGAGAGCATTGACATAAAGGATCAGCTGTGATCATACTGAAAGGCAGAGCAGGATTAATGGGCCAAATGGCCTACTTCTGCCTGTTTTCTCTGTAACACACATCCGATCCTAATTAGAACTGCGTCCCTGCTCCTTCATTGTTGGAAATCCTAGAACTTGCCCTGCCTAATAGCACAGTGGACTGCAGTGGTTTGGGAAAGCAACTCACCACCACCTTCTTATGGGACAATTAGGAATGGGAAACAAATGCTGACTTCACCAATGATGTTCATAAGACCATAAGATAGGAGCAGAATTGGGCTATTTTCCCCGTTGAGTCTGCTCCACAATTTGATCATGGCTGATAAGTTTCTCAACCCCATTTTCCTCAACCCCGTCTTCTACCACTAACCCTTGATCTCCTTACTAATCAAAAACCTATCTATCTCTGTCTTACATACACTCAATGACTTGGCTTCCGCAGCCACTGCAGCAATAAGTTCCACAGATTCACCACCCTCTGGCTTAAGAAATTCCTTCTCATCTCAGGCCTAAAGAGTTGCCCCTTCACTCTAGGCTGTGCCCTCGGGCCCTAGCCTGTCCAACTGGTGGAAAAATCTTTTCCGCTCTATCAGACCACTCCATACTCTGTAAGTTTCAATCAGATCCCTCCTCATCCTTCTAAACTCCATCAAGTATAGAGCCAGAGTCCTCATCTGCTCCTCATATACAAGCCATTCATCCACAGAATCATTCTTGAAAAATTTGCTCTGGGCACCCTCTGAAGCCAGCGCATCCTTCCTCAGATATTGGGCCCAAAACTGCCACAATATTCCAAATACGATCTGACCAGGGCCTTATACAGCCTCAGCAGTACAGCTCTGGTCTTGTACTCCAGTTGTCTTGAAATGAATTTTTAACATTGCATTTGCCTTCATAACTGCCAAATGAACCTGTATGTTAACTCTGAAAGAATCTTGAACTGGAACTCCCAAGTCCCTTTGTGCTTCAGATTTCCATAGCCTTTCCTCTTTTAGAAAATAGTCCACGCCTCTATTATTCCTCCCAAAGTGCATAACTTCACACTTTCCCACATTATATTCCATCTATCACCTCTTTACCCACTCTGTTAGTCTGTCCAAGTCCTTTGCATCTTCTCTGCTTCCTCAACACTAATGTGCCTCCACATATCTTGTGTTATCTGTGAATTTAGCAACAATGTTTGGCAACAATTCCTTCATCCAGATTGTTAATGTACAATGTGAATAGTTGTGGTCCCAACTCTGACCCCTGCAGAACTCCATTAGTCACCAGCTGCCATCCTCAAAAAGACCCCTTTATCCCTACTATCTGCCTTCTGTCAGTCAACCAATCCTCTATCTGTGCTAGTACCTTGGCCCTAACGCCATGGGCACTTATCTTATTGAGCAGCCTACCTTGTCAAATGCCTTCACATCGACTGGCTATCGTCTGTCTAACTTGCTTGTTACTACCTCAGAGAATTCGAACAGATTTGTCAGGCATGACCGCTCCTTCAAAAAGTCATGCTGACTCAGCCCTATTTTACCATGAACCTCCAAGTACACTGCAATCTCATCCTTCATAGTGGAGTCTAAAATCTTAACAATGACCCAGGTTAGGGTAACCAGCCTATAGTTTCCAGTCTTCTGCCTCCCTCCCTCCCTTCTTAAACAGTGTTACATTTTCCAGTCCTCTGGGACCTACCCTGACTCCAGTGATTCCTGAAAGATCATCACCAATACCTCTACAATCTCCTCTGGTATCCCCTTCAGAGAGCGGTGTAGTTCATCTGATCTGGGTGATTTATCTGCCTTCAGATCTTTCAGCTTCTCCAGTACCTTCTTGGTGATGGACAGTGCACTCACCTTTGCCCCTGACTCTCTTGAGATTTAGGTATACTGCTGGTATCTTTTACTGTGAAAACTGTTGCATTTCTTTGTTCCCTATTACCATTCTCCAGCCTCATTTTCCAGTGGCCCAATGTCCATTCTTGCCTCTCTCTTTTACATATCAGAAAAAAATTAGCAATCTTCTTTTATATCACTAGCTAGCTTACTCTCATAGTTCATCTCCTCTTTTATTGCTTTTTTTTAGTTATCCTCTGCTGGATTTTAAAGGCTTCCCACTAATTTTCACCACATTGTAAGCTTTTCTTTTGCTGTCGCTGACTTCCTTTGTTAGCCACATTGCCTAATCCTTCCCTTAGTATGTTTCTTCTTCCTTGGGATGAGTTTCTACTGTGCCTCCTGAATTACCCCC